GGGAACCAGACTTAGTATGAGGTTTGACATAGACACGACTTGCACTAATTATTACCGCCGGCGACTCATTCGGTACCTTACAATCACTAAAAAATACCTAATTAAAGCTTGGTAACGTCTTCAGTTTGTACTCGTTGATCTGCCCAACAGTAAAAGTCGCCATCTTTGTTTATATGAGACCAATCGAAAATCGGGTTACCGAGAAAACAAACAAACAAGGAACGTGTGAGCCCTTGTCGACGCCTTCTTGCGACACCTGTGATGATTGCAGGGCGAAGGAACCACTGTTAAAAAAAAAAAAAACGTTTAAATATATACAACATGGCCGCCATACATTCATCAATTTTAATACGCATATAACATTTTTTTCTCGATAAATAGGCTGGTAACCAAACATTTTTTTTCAAGGAGAAAGGCCGATGTATAGAAATAATCGCGACGAATGTGTTTACAACCGAGAACATATCCGTCTAGGGTCAGAATTTTTGTTTACGAATCGAATACACTGTTGCAAATTACACATATAATATAATATTCCTAAAACATGGATTGATAGTTTTTAACATCTGTTGAATCTGGCTCCCCAGGTTATTACTACCAATTTATTATCAAGAATAATAATCGAGTCAAGAAAAACAAAACCGCCCATTTATAAACTGTGTAGAGCAGTGTATTACACTCTTTTGTATTGCGTGGCACTATTGTGTTATAATAGATTTAATTTTGACGCAGCTGGTATGTTTCATATTTTTATTGTGAGTCTCACACAATGAGTGATTATTTAATAGACACACATTCATCATGGTGTCCACGTGAAAGTGATCGCATTTCTTTTCTCGGGGTTATTGTATTTTACCTTATATTGACATGGAACTAATAAGAAATCAGGCGAAACACTCAATCTGGATTGCTTCCGTAAATCTTAAGCACTGTGTTCTTATAGAATAGTCACAAAGCGACTATCAAACGAGAATACATGTATAGTGTTGTTATGGACTACAAATGGATGAACCAAATAATCAGCTTTTATAAAATACGGACAAATCCGATTACATTAGCAAATGACGTCATCTGAAAGTTCACATGTTTTTTATTCGTCCTTGTTCATGCCGTTGTGTTGTCACAGAAAGCGCTATCCCAATACAGTGTAAAAAAAGGACGCCGACCTACAGCGTCAACGTGTTCATGCTCTTTTAATATAGTCAGTATTTCGTATGCGTAAGCAACGATACACTCCAGAGCAAATTTTGAATGGGTCTCC